ATTTACTTATTTGTTTTTTATGAGATCGAATATGTGAACAGACTCATTACTTATTTGTTTTTTATGAGATTGAATATTTGAACAGACTCCATCTCAGTTTTAACCACTAAATTATTTAATGAAATAAAAAATGCAATATTCTACAGAGACTATTAACTGGCATTTAGACTAGTCTTAAAAGTATTACTTTGGGTTCTTCACAATTGTGTGAGAAAGAGAAAAAGAGAGAGGGAGGAAGCATCCTCCAATGGGGCATGGTTGTGCCATAGTCCCCCTTCCTCCATTTCTCCAACTTGTCAAGACTGTGGGCAAATATGCACATGTGCTCAGTGTATTTTTAAGCCTCTGGTCTGGGACTTGAACCATGGCCATGTAAGATCCAGCTCTGAATGCACAGCAGTTGACCACTGCACTATAGAACTGGCCCAGGTTCTTCCTCTTTTAATCATGAAACTGAACTGCTCACTGAGGAGAATAATACACAATTTAAAATATCTTAAGTATCTTTTAAATTATGATAAAGACTGTGAAAGCCTATATTTTCATTTTACCATGATCACTGACCAAAAACGTAAAGATCCTGACAGTATAGCTGAAACAAGATCACTGTCTAAACTTAAATGTAATTATGATAAAAGATCTTTTGAGGACCTACTAGGCCAAGTTTGGCACATTGAAAAATATACCTAGCTGTTGGCAATTTTAAGTGATCTGTAAGAGCTCTTCATTGGCTCTATAGTCAAATTCTTCTCACATCTATTGTTTTCACATGTCAGAAACCACGGATAGTAATAACTAACATGCAAGAAGTTGGATTGTCCCACCAATAGCTGATCAATAGCTATTATCATCAACTTGAGACTATATATATAAGAAGTCTGTAAAAATGGAAATGTTTATCAAAAGTACATTATAAGAAGTCAATGATTCTAAAGGTATGAAATTTTTAATTAGTTATTCTAATGCTCGTACTTTTCTTTAATACCTATATGGAGTTAATATAATTTCCAGAATTTATTTAATAAAATGTTTATTTTACTGTTCTGTTAATATGTTGACATGAGGAACAGTAGATGTGAGAGGATTTAGCAAAAAGGAAATCAATTTTGGATACGTTTGAGTGGAGGCTCTTACAGGTGATTCCAGAAAATATATGCTAATCATAATTTTAAATACAGATCGGAAGCTCAAGAAGGGTTTAGGATTGAAATATAACCTTTTGAATTTTAATCTATATCAGTATTTTATTATCTATATATCGTTATACATATTGAAAATTCAAGGTAAAATGCTGAATACAGTTAAGACCAAAAGCTCATTCTCTCTTTTCTGAACTTAAAATACTGTTGCCAGGACCAGCAGATCGTCTAATGGTTGTGTCACTGGACTCCCACATAGTCAACCGTGGTTCGAGTCCTAGACCTGGCAGCTTAAACTCACGCCAGGTGCATGTGCATGTATGCACGCCCAAGATCCCAAGAGGAGAATGGAGGACAAGGGATTGTGGCCAACCTTCCTGAGGAGTGATTTCTTGCTTTCTGACTCTGGCGAGCACATGTGCCCTATAGCAAAAATCTCTAAAAAAAAAAAAAAATACTATTGCCTATTAGAAAACCAAATGACTGTAAGAGGTATCTAAATTTTCTGCTAACTGTTATATTCAACATTAGAGTTATTTAATGGATTAGGAAGAAAAATACATAATCTTTATTGACTTTCTTCTCTGAATGAAGTACATTCAGAAGACTGATCTTATTGGTTCTATAAATATAGAAAGGGAACTCATGTAAGAAAAGGTATTTCTTTTTCAGAATCTTGATATTTAAACGTATAAGCACTAAATCCTAAACTAAAAGCACCCCTCTTCACATCTATAAAGCAGAGTATTTAAAGATATTTGTTGAACTATTTATAGTAAAGTTGAGATGGTGGGCTCTCAAGTCAGATTTCTAGTCTTGAGTCATACTAGCTACACGATCTTGATCAGGTTATTTCATCTCTTTGGCCTCAGTAGCCTCATCTGTAAAATAAAATTATTAGTATTTACCTCTTGGATTTGTGAGGATTAATCATGTAAATTTACTTCAGAGCAGTGCCTGGGATATTGCTGTGTTCAATCAATACCTATTGTTAAACAATTTTATTAGAGATACCATTTTCTTTCTCTTAAACCCACTATCACTACTGTTTAAAAATCTTGGAAAAATCATTCAGATCAAGTTTCTCAGTTAAAAACAGGACTTGATATTTAGATATCACAGCTAATGCTAGCTCTCTCAGAGAATTTGTAGGTCTGTAAAGATCATGGTGGAGTGGAACCTTACTAAGCAAAGTAAGGAGTGATAACATGGACTGTTAGGACTATCATTCTAGGTGACTAGGGGATTAGGTCTAGAGCAATAACAATATCTGAAGTTTACTGAAATAGTAGATAAATGAACCTAAGTAGCATGTCCCCATCAAAAATATGGAAAAATAGGAGGGTTTAAAAATAAAACTAGGGGCTGGCAGATGGCGCGGTAGTTAAGGCGTTGTACTCCCATGTGGCTGACTGAGTTTTCAGTCCCTGACTTGGCGGCTTGCTTTCTCACTTTCTCTCTTTCTCTCTGGTGGGTGCATGTACCTTATAGCAAATAAAAACAATAATAGTAGTAAATAAAATTAAATAATTATTTTAAAAAAATAAATAAAACTATAAGGCGAGCCAATTAGCATGGTGGATAGGAAGAATCTATCTATCTATCTATCTATCTATCTATCTATCTATCTATCTATCTATCTGGCTGTATCTCACATGACTGATTGCATGGTCCATGTCCTAGCTTGAAAAACATGTCAGACAGGGACCAGCAGTTAGCATAATGGCTATGTCACTGGACTCCCATGTAGTCGACCGCGGTTTGAGTCCCAGACCCGGTGGCTTAAACTCACGTCGGGTGTGTGTGTGTGTGTGTGTGTGTGCCCATGATCCCGAGAGGAGAATGGAGGAGAAGGGATTGTGGCATGGCCATCCCCCCTGGGGGGTGATTTCTTGCTTTCTGTCTCTCTATCTCTTTCTGGCAAGCTCATGTGCCCTATAGCAAAAACCTCTTAAAAAACTTTTTTTAATTTAAAAAAAAAAAAAAAGCCAGACACATGGTGCTTGCATGCCCAAAATCTCGAGAGGAGAATGAAAGAGAAAAGATTGTCGCCTGGTCATCCAACCAGGGGGTGCTTTTTCACTTTCCCTCTCTCTCACTTTCAGTCTCTAGCAATTATATACATCCTATAGCAAATCAAAATAAAAAACAACACAAAAAGGGAACCAGCAGTTAGCATAATGGCTATGTCGCTGGACTCCCACGTAGTTGACCTGGTTCGCGTCCCGGACCTGGTGGCTTAAAACTCACACCGGGTGCGTGTGCATGCATGTCCAAGATCCCGAGAGGAGAATGGAGGAGAAGGGATTGCGGCGTGGCCATCCCCTCTGGGGGATAATTTCTCACTTTCTGTCTCTGTCTCTCTCTCTCTCTCTGTCTGTCCTCTGTCTGTCTGGCGAGTGCACGAGCCCTATAGCGAAAACCTCTAAAAAACAACAACAACAACAACAACACAAAAATAAAATAAAACTAGAAGTTCAATTTAAAGAGAGTGATTTATCTTCACTTCCATAAAATGAGAGCTGGTTAAGAAGGACAACATTTTACTAAGTGGACCTAAAAGAGCCAATGAAACAGTGACACACATGTATAGTAAACAACCTCACAACATGAAAGGTCACCTTTTCACCATAGAGACCATTTCTCTCCCAGAAAGCTTAGTCATGAATATGTTTGAAATAAAATGAGTCTTAACAAATCATTAACGTATGATGCACACTTTAAAATTGGCAGTTAGTATTCTTGAAAGCAATGTTTTAATAATGTTTATAAATGATGTGCTATGTAAAGTAAAACATATGCTATACTTGATTGCAAATTACATCCAGACTGTACAATTCGAATGCATACCGTACTATAATAATCAAGACAGTTCAGTTGTTTTCCTGGAGTATGTTTCAAACAGAGTTGGCATATAACCCGTATATAATAATATTGCTATGGTTATAGGCATCTTTCAAATTTAAGGGTCTAAAATACATTATGTTCCTCGAAAAAAACATTGTGAATGTCAGCCAGTTTTTTATTTATATTCCTTCAAAAATATACTACCTTGGTCATTCACACAACCTACATCACTGAAAGTAATCGAAGATCACAATCACAGTCTTACCTTACGTTTAAGTTCTAATTGACAAAAGGCCAAAGACTGGCCATGCTGCAAAGGTGCAGACATTAGGGATGCTGCTGTGCAATGCTCTAGACCACAGGAAGGCTCCAGGTTCATATCCCGGTCCATCTCAACATGCCAGCTACACCATGATTCTGGCTGGCTGCAGGACATAAAAGACCCATCAAGGGTGCCCCTCTCTCTCTTTATTTCTCTCTCTCTCTTTCATGAAGGAAATAAATAAACTTAGAAAAACAAAGCAAAGGACTGTCATGTTCAAGAAATCTACAGGTCAAATTCTCAGCCATTAAAACTGAGGGAAAATGTTTCATCCAGTGCAATCACTGTAGTTGTGTATTTGGGTTTTATATTTATAGGGTTCCATTTGAAAATGAAATGAGGCCATACACATTACATTAAGGTAACTCTCAAGTAAAAAATAAAATACCATAGGACTTGAAGAGATGTTGCAATTCTAATAGCACAGACTCGAAAAACTAAACACTTAGCCATAACTTCTACATCTTTCTGTAATTAAGAAGACTTTACCATGAGACCAGCAGATGGCATAATGGTTATGTTGCCGAACTCTCAAATAGTTACGTTCTAGACCCGGAGGCTTCAAACTCAGCCAAACACGTGTGCGTGCATGTCCAAAATCCCGAGAGAAGAATGGAGGAGAAGCAATTGTGGCATGGCCATCCCCCCCCCCGCCCCCCGGCGGGGATGATTTCTTGCTTTCTGTCTCTGCGTCTCTCTGTGTGTCTCTGGTAAGCACACTTGCCCTATAGCAAAAAATCTCTTTTTTAAAAAAAAATAGTCTTTGCCACACTTACAGGATTGAGGCAGTAATGTATATTAGCATGTGATTAATCAAAGAGTGCACTTACTACCATGAACTTGGATCCTATGTCATAAAATCATTTTTACCTTTCCCCAAAGAATCATTTGCTCTTGAAGTCATAGGCTTTTAAGGCACATTTTATCAAAATTCTATCACATATTCATCTTAAAAATGGAAGCTCTTCCTGGTGATAATATATCTAACTAATGTATGATTTGCCAGATATGCAAGTGTGTCTATCTTGAGGATAAAGTTGTATTAGAAAACTGAGTCTTTATTTGCTTATTCAAAGAGAAACATTCTGTAAAAAATATTAGAGAATTAGATTTATAAGAATAACCCATATGTACCAGGCCTGTTGGCAAAGGTCCAACAGGGTAGAGCTCTAGAAATTAGGGAAAAGATTGGGAACCTTGGGCTCCTACTCATCCAGGTTTCTGAGTAGGAATCATGAAGAAGGAAAGAAGGGCACCTTAATGATTTTTATAAATCTTCTTTCAAAGTACACAGATCCTAGGGAGGCTCAAACCTTAAACCTCTACCAGCTACCATCTTAAATTTCAGTTACCAGCTTCAAAGGACTAGGACTTGGGAAAAGAGAGAAGAGAGGATGGGAAGTAGCTGCAGATAGAAATAGGAGAGTTTCAAGGAAAGCTGCTTTAGGTACTTTATACATTTGGCTAGGACCAGCTTTGATGACTTTAGGAGGCTCTGCTATTTAAAAAAAAATTTTTTTTTCTGATGTCCCACAAGCATGTCTTAGTGTGTTGTGTTAACCCCTGGGATGGACATAGAACTATCTATGTGGAATGCTTTGACATATGGGTAGATTTAGGGTCTTAATTTCTTTTAAGTCTAAATTAGACATAAGTCAAAGGATTTCGTTGAAACAATTACATAGCTCATTGAAATGCCACCTGCAACATCCTTTTCCCACTGACCATCAGGAGTTTTCAGGATGGCTCTTTGGCCTTGCAGAGCATGCTGGTGGCAAACTGAGCTCTAGTTCAGTGTAAGGTGGGACCAGACAGAGCACACGAGGCACATGGTTCAAACAAAGAGGAAACCAAGAGGTGACAAGTATGACCAAAGGGAGTAAGCTCCCTGTAGGGGTCTGAGACTTGCTCCATTCACTGGGATCATGGAGCAATAAAAAACTAGCCCTAAATAAACATTTTTAATGTAGCACATCAACAGGTCATTTCACAGGGGCTAAACATATAGGGACTATACATATTCTTGTTAGTCTGCAGTTGCCAATCACAGACATTTGGGAAACTTTTACCCTCTGATGTTTCTTTAGCCCTGGGTAGCAGATACAGAAAAGCCTCCAGAAAACCTGCAACTCAGCGACATTCTTATTTTCTCCAGTGATCGACATTGGCACTATTTTGGAAATATGGTCCCAAAGGTTCTAAAAAATAGTAATGCATAAAAAGAAATAATCTCTCTATATAAAGTGATTATATAGATATGTGTTGAGGTAAAGAGCTTCATAAAAACTGTTGAGTTGGGACGCATAACTATGGCTATAGAAATTTTTAGGTGAGTTTGGCGCTTATATTATTCTATAAAACTCTGTTTACACTATTATAAATAGCAGACAGTTCTTATTGCTCCCGGAGTTTGTAGCCCCGATCTGTTCTAACTCCACTGAAAAATGATTTTTCTCAACAACTGGTAGCAAAGATTCCCAAATTTACAAAAAATCATTACCAATGTATCACTTTTTGATAAATTCTGATTGCCATACGGATATAGACTACAGTATGCATGTCTTTGACACCACGTACAGAAAAAAGCTTAGAAAAGTCATTTTTATCAAAGTTCAGTTCAATGAGAAAAAAACGTGAAAAAGTGCAAAATATGTACAGTTCCTGGCAATTCTCACATGAATTGTTTTCTGACTACAGACCACAATAGTTTACATTTGTATAATGAAAGTACAGTAGATTTCGCTTCATTGTTAATATACAAGTTTTTGCTTCAAAGTGCTTACTTTATTTTAAAAAAGAGAAGATCAAGAGAGTGTACGAATTTTTTTTTTTTACAACAAATCCATGTCACGTGTCCCATCTCCTTCCTCTTCCTTTTGTGCAACATGACTCAGCAGCCTCCTCAAAGAGGTATGATTTCAAAAGCTGTTCCTTGATGCCTCACCTACAGCAGCACTCTGGGGGTCCCGTTAGGGGTGCCTCCTTTTTTCTTCTGCAACCGATTCTGAATCTTTCGAGATTTCACCACTTTCATTCTCACCTCAAAAACTTCATGGATGGCCTTCCGGAAGCAATGAAAATTATAGTCAATAAGCCCTGGAGAAGAAGACAAAAATATTTACATGTGTCACATAAAATAATCATCTTTTCAGGTCAGCTGTGGCCAGAATAAGTCAGTAGGGGGTGATGGAGAAGCAGCTGTCACTAAGGACCGTAGATTTCCCTAGGAGAGCTGCAGCTGGGCTTTGTGAACCGTGTAAACCACTAGTGATGGCAGGAAAGTTTTATGAAGGTAGTTATTTCCTGAAGCAAGGTTGCAGCATATATTCTAACATTTTTAATTGTATACTACATTTTGGGTCCATGACTCAAAAGATTTAAAGAGTCATTGAACTTTAAATGGCTAGTTTTCTTTAGACCTTTCAGAATTAAAGATTTATTAAAATTAAGGTAAGTCTTTAATTTTAAAAATTCCTTACAAAAGGCATCATTAAAATTGACTGTAGGGCTAACCCCATAGCCTAGTGGTTAAAAGAGTCAGATCCCACATGGCTGACTCGAATCTTGGTTCAAATCTTGGCTGGGGTGGCTTGAAAAAACATGCCAACCTATATCCATACATGTGTGCCCAAAATCTCAAAAGGAGGGAGAGATGGAAGAGAAGGGATTGTGGCATGACCATTCACCACGGGGGGATGCCTTCTCCCATTCCTCTCTTTGTGTCTCTCTGTCTCTCTCTGGTGAGCACATAAGCCCTCTGGGGGAAAAATGTCTAAGTGGAAACAGACTCTGACTTGAAGTGTGGCTGAGATTTCAAAGCCACAGTATCAATCAATTAACCAGTCAATAAAATATTTACTTTCTATTATATTTAAACCATTCTAAGGAGAGCAAAGTCCTTGATTTTAGAGAAGTAACAGTTACCTAAAGTCAATTGCAAGGTCAGGAATGCAACTATCAATGACACACTCGGCTTTTCAATATTAAATAAATTTATTTTCTTTTATTATGCCAGAGAATATATGTATGCACATGAGTTAGAGACACAGAGAGAGCCAGGACAGAAAGTGAGGGGAGAAAAAGCACCCCTTCCCCAGTGAGGCCTCGTCATGCCACATTATTTTTCCTCCAGTTCTACACCCTGTCAGAATCCTACGTACATAGGCACGTATGCCTGGCAAGTCAGCCACCAAGGCAGGGACTTGAACCCAAGTCAGCCATATTGGATCTAGCTTCTGCACACTGTGTTTAACCACTATGCTATGGGGCTGGCCTAATATTAAATAAAATTTTAATGGGGAAATAATAGTGGAGAATAATTCTGTGTTTTCAGAAATATATAAGTAGCACACACCAAAAAATAATAGGATAAAAGATACACCAAAGTCTTGAGTACATTTTTCATCAGTAACAATAATTTGTAGAAGTGTTGAGAGCAACATTATGTTCACAATAATTCAGATAAGGTAGCTGGTTCTATTGACTATGTTTAAACTTACTAAAATAACTAGCTCAACTATTATATCCATCTCTCAGATGCCCCATATGCAAGTGTCTTTATCTTGAGGATAAAGTTGTAGAAAAGGAAGATTTGGGATTCCAGCAAAGATAAACACCTCTCAATTGGTTGTATAACTAATTGCAAGGGCCCTGGGGAGGGTGTGGACACCACTTCAGCTCCCAGAAGCAGGAACACCTTTGAGTGGTACCCTTGCTGCTTCTGCAGAGATACTGAACCACAAATATGGTAAAAGGAGGACTCTTATTTTGCTCAAGAAAATGTCAAGAAAAGATCAGTGAGGCAGAGAAAAAGTAATAAATAAGGAACAAAAAATTATTTCATTTCATAAGAATCTGAATAGGATACATGAAAACAACCTCAATATTCTTTGCTTATATGTGGAGCAAACTGCCTTAGGAAAAAAGCTTAGCCAAGAGAATTTGGCTCAGTGAGATGGGTGAAAGTAAAATATTCATCTTGGGGAATTTCAGAGACATCCTATTGATAGTTCTTAACAAATCTTAAATGACTCACATTTGCACATTTCAGATTGTAACAGGAATCTTGGTGCATTTGTAGCAGTAAAAGTTCACAACTGAAGTTTTGAAAGGAAGTAAGCATAAAGTGTTTGCTATTTCAATCCTTTTATTAAAGGGAGTTGAAAACACAAGAACAGAGACATAAACAGAGAAATACCATTTTTTGCCAGCAACCACAATTAATCCCATACTCCATCCTTCTCTGAATCAGCAATTCAAAACACCAGGAAACTTTTTAAAAAATTAACAAACCTCAGGTCCCTCTCCCATGAATCCTATCCTTACTGCTTGTAGGAGGGTCCAGATAGCCATATTTTTTAATCACTCCCTTCTGAAGAATATATCTATAATGTGTATCTGATCTTAACTCATTAGTGAAAACTTGGAGAGCAATATGAGGAAGAGCTAAGTAACAAGCATTGATTATCAGCACCCACAGGACTCAACGATGCTTGAGATGAAAGTAACAACAAACAAATCGAACTACTCCATGCTTCCTCTTCAGTGAGGAGCTGGATGGAGGCACGCGTAAATCGAGATGCTCTGCGAGGCTGACCCTCATGGGAAGGTTCTGGGCTTGTATGCAAAGACCTCCGTGGGTGCGCGGGGCACAGATGTGCCCATGGTGTGGGCCTGGCTGTGTCTGGGGTGAGTGCCCAGTGCTGAGGCCCTTTGAAGGTGCTGTATTTTTGTCTTTCTTTCTCTCTCTCACTCATGAAAGAAGTAGATAAGTTTTTTTTTTTTTTAAAGGTCATGCAGGGGCCAGCAGGTGGTGTGGTGGTGGTTAAGATGCTAGTCTCCCACATGGCTGACCACAGTTAGAGTCCTGGACCCAGTGACTGAAACTCCTACTAGTGCACACATGCCCAAAATCCCAGGAGAAGAATGGAGGAAAAGGGATGGTGGTATGGTCATCTCCCCTGGAGGGTGATTTCTCACTTTCCTTCTAACTGTTTCTCTCTGACTGTCTCTGGTGAGCACACACACCCTATGCCAGAAACCTAAAAAACAGTAACTGTATGATAGCTAGGGTGACCGACTCATCCCATTTGCCTGGGACTTTCTCAGATTAGGCACTAAAGATTTCCCTTCTAAGAAGACTTTCTGTTTCCTAAAATGAAAATCGCTGGTCACCCTAAAAAGCATACACGTTAAACATATGAATTAATAAACACTGTCTGCCTGTTGAGTTACAATCTTATTATTACATTAAAACTGGAGCCAGTAGGTAGCATAGTGGTTGGGGCACTGGACTCCCACATGGATGACCATAGTTTGAGTCCCGGACCTGGTGCTTGAAAATCATTCTGGGCATGTGTGTGTGTGTGTGTGTGCCCAGAATCCCTGGAGAATGGAGGTGAAGGAACTGTGGCATGGCCATCACCCTGAAGGAGATTTCTTACTTTCCCTCTCACTGTCTCTCTTCGACAAACACACGAGCCCATGGCAAAAACCTAAAAATAAAAAGAAAAGAAAAAAAAAAAGTACTTACATTCCAGTTAGTTTAGTAAATTCTGAAAAATCTGCCTCTTCTCTGAGACAGCCATCTATGTGGTTTGGAATGATTTACTAGTGATCCATATAATAAGTTCCTATTTAATTTAGTTCTACAACCACAGATGAATATTAAAATTAGTGATCAAATTTAAGGAGAAACAAGATTTCTGTAGTTTCAAAGAATCTGTTAACTTCAGGAATTCTTCCATGGAATACCCTGGCAGAGACTATCTTAACTAGATCAAGGTTCACATCCCTATTAATAAAATAAGGCTTAACGTCATGAACACTTGATATGAACACCACGAAGACATATCATTTCTGTGGGATTCTTTTCTTTTTTCAAAGAGGTTTTTGGTGAAATTTGAGGAAGGTCTGTAGTTGAATTAATGGTATTATGCCAATGTTAATTTCCTGGTTTTGATAACTGAACTATCGTAATGTAAAAGCATTAACCTCAGAGGAAGTTGCTCATTTTGCAACCTTTTTTTTTAAGTCTAAAATCAGTGTAAAGTAAACAAGCTATCCCGGCTGATCTCAGTATTTCCTACATTTTAGGACTTGCTAATACCCTACATGGTTTGGGATTATCGTTGTACTATTTCATTACTATTATTTCCCTTAGCTTTCAAAATTAACATCAATTTTTTTTTGTTTTTTGAGAGGCTTTTGCTATAGGGTGCGTGCGCTCGCTAGAAAGACAGAGAGAGACAGAGACAGAAAGCGAGAAATCACCCCCCGGGGGGGATGGCCACGCCACAATCCCTTCTCCTCCATTCTCCTCACAGAATGCATACGTGCCCGGCGTGAGTTTAAGCCACCAGGTCCAGGACTCGAACTGCGGTTGACTACATGGGAGTCCAGTGACATAGCCATTACACCAACTGTTGGTCCCAAAATTAACACCAAATATTAATCACCAATAACATTTTTTTTTTGGAGAGGTTTTTTCACTCTAGGGCATGTGCGTTCACCAGACAGACAGAGACATAGAGACAGAAAGCGAGAAATCACCCCCTGGGGAGATGGCCACACCGCAATCCCTTCTTCTCCATGCTCCCCTCGGGATCTGGGGCACGCACGCACATGCACCCGGCGTAAGTTTGAAGCCACTGGGTCCGGGAAGCGAACTGCGGTCAACTACTTGGGAGTCCAGCGACATAGCCTTTACGCCAACTGCTGGTCCCCACCAATAACATTTTAAGTTTTAATTTATTCCATGAGTGAGACGGGGAGGCAAACAGCATCCCCAATAGGGTCTTGATGCTCCAATCCACCAGCAACTTCAGTCAGTCCTAATTCATAAGCACGTGCATGCGTGGCATACATAAGGAGGTCTCTGGACATGAACCCAAAACCTTCTCATGTGGATCAATCCTGCAGAGCAGTGCATTTTACCACTGCACCACCACCCAGTCCCCTGGGAAATATCTTTAATCAAAGAAGTATATATGCATTGGTTACATGTACACACTTAGCTCTATATAGAGAAACCTAGCAATCTTTAGCCCCGAATGCCATAGGTGTAACCTTGAGAGAAAGTCACTTGCATTTTATGG